GTTCTAGATGCACAATTTTGTTCTTTTCTTCTGTTTGATTTTCAATATCTACTTCCATATTTAGAATCTTGGACATGTTTACTTTTGATAGATTTAAAAGGTATATCGTTACATCATTTGTTTCTTTGGGTTTAATTAGTATACCCATTATAGGAGTTTTATCTAAGTTAGCATCTTTTGGAGAATCATGATTTACTTCATTTTCACTCGTCAAATTTTAACAGCGCCACATTTTTTCCTTTTCATTTGTTTGATTTTCAGTTTCTACTTCCATTGTTTTAGAATCTTGGTCATCTTTATTTTGGTTTATTTTTAAAAAGCATCATATCGTTAACATCAATTTGTTCCTGTGGTGTTTTAGTTTGTATTTCATTATCTTTTTGAAAATCATGATTTACTTCATTTTCATCGTACAAATTTTACAGCGTCATTTTTTTCCTTTTCATTTGTTCGATTTTAGTATCTACTTCCATTATTTTAGAATCTTGGTCATCTTTATTTGGTTGATTTTAAAAGGTATATCGTTTACATCAAATTTGTTTCTGTGGGTTTTAATTAGTATACCCTTATTATGGAGTTTTATCTAAGTTAGCATCTTTTCGAGTAACATGATTACTTCATTTTCACTCGTACAAATTTATATGCGCCATTTTGTTCCTTTTCATTTGTTTGATTTTCAATATCTACTTCCAATGTTTTAGAATCTTGGTCATCTTATTTTGGTAGATTTTAAAGGCATTTCGTTTACATCAATTTGTTTCTGTGGGTTTTAATTAGTATACCCATTATAGGAGTTTTATCTAAGTTAGCATCTTTTCGAGAATAATGATTTACTTCATTTTCACTCGTACAAATTTTAACAGCGCCATTTTTTTTCTTTTCATTTGTTTGATTTTCAGTATCTGCTTCCATTGTTTTAGAATCTTGGTCATCTTATTTTGGTTTATTTTAAAAGGCATATCGTTAACATCAATTTGTTCCTGTGGTGTTTTAATTTGTATTTCATTATCTTTTTGAGAATCATGATTGACTTCCTTCTCACTCGTACAAATTTTAACAGCGCCATTTTTTTCCTGTTCATTTGTTTGATTTTCAGTATCTGCTTCCATTGATTTAGAATCTTGGTCATCCTGATTTTGGTTGATTTTAAAAGGTATATCGTTTACATCAATTTGTTTCTGTTGGGTTTTAATTAGTATACCCATTATCAGACCTTTATCTAAGTTAGCATCATTTCGAGAATCATGATTTACTTCATTTTTACTCGTACAAATTTTAACAGCGCTATTTTTTTCCTTTTCATTTGTTTGATTTTCAGTATCTGTTTCGATTGTTTTAGAATCTTGGTCATCCTTATTCTGGTTGATTTTAAAAGGTATATCATTTACATGAATTTGTTTCTGATGGGTTTTAATTAGTATACCCATTATAGGAGTTTTATCTAAGTTAGCATCTTTTCGAGAATCATGATTTACTTCATTTTCATTGTTGTTGACATCAATTTGTTCCTGTGGGGTTTTAATTTGTGTTTCATCACCTTTTTGAGAATCATGATTTACTTCCTTTTCACTCGTACAAATTTTAACAGCGCCATTTTTTTCCTTTTCATTTGTTTGATTTTCAGTATCTATTTCCATTGTTTAGAATCTTGGTCATCTTTATTTTGGTTTATTTTAAAAGGTATATCGCTTACATCAATTTGTTCCTGTGGTGTTTTAATTTGTATTTCATTATCTTTTTGAAAATCATGATTTATTTCCTTTTCACTCGTACAAATTTTAACAGCGCTATTTTTTTCCTTTTCATTTGTTTGATTTTCAGTATCTACTTCCATTGTTTTAGAATCCTGGTCATCCTGATTTTGATTGATTTTAATAGGTATATCGTTTACATCAATTTGTTTCTGTTGGGTTTTAATTAGTATACCCATTATAGGAGTTTTATCTAAGTTAGCATCTTTTCGAGAATCATGATTTACTTCATTTTCACTCGTACAAATTTTAACAGCGCCATTTTTTCCTGTTCATTTGTTTGATTTTCAGTATCTGCTTCCATTGTTTTAGAATCTTGGTCATCTTTATTTTGTTTATTTTAAAAGGCATATCGTTAACATCAATTTGTTCCTGTGGTGTTTTAATTTGTATTTCATTATCTTTTTGAGAATCATGATTTACTTTCTTTTCACTCGTACAAATTTCAACAGCGCCATTTTTTTCCTTTTCATTTGTTTGATTTTCAGTATCTACTTCCATTGTTTTAGAATCTTGGTCATCTTGATTTTGGTTGATTTTAAAAGGTATATCGTTTACATCAATTTGTTTCTGTTGGGTTTTAATTAGTATACCCAATATAGGAGTTTTATCTAAGTTAGCATCTTTTTGAGAATCATGCTTTACTTCATTTTCACTCGTACAAATTTTAACAACGCCATTTTTTTCCTTTTCATTTGTTTGATTTTCAGTATCTACTTCCATTGTTTTAGAATCTTGGTCATCTTCATTTTGGTTTATTTCAAAAGACATGTCGTTAACATCAATTTGTTCCTGTGGGGTTTTAATTTGTATTTCATCACCTTTTTGAGAATCATGATTTACTTTCTTTTCACTCATACAAATTTTAACAGCGCCATTTTTTTCCTTTTCATTTGTTTGATTTTCAGTATCAATTTCCATTGTTTTAGAATCTTGGTCATCTTTATTTTGGTTTATTTTAAAAGGCATATCGTTGACATCAATTTGTTCCTGTAGTGTTTTAATTTGTATTTCATTATCTTTTTGAAAATCATGATTTACTTCCTTTTCACTCGTACAAATTTTAACAGCGCCATTTTTTTCCTGTTCATTTGTTTGATTTTCAGTATCTACCTCCATTGTTTTAGAATCTTGGTCATCTTTATTTTGGTTTATTTTAAAAGGCATTTCGCTAACATCAATTTGTTCCTGTGGTGTTTTAATTTGTATTTCATTATCTTTTTGAGAATCATGATTTAGTTCCTTTTCACTCGTACAAATTTTAACAGCGCCATTTTTTTCCTTTTCATTTGTTTGATTTTCAGTATCTACTTTCATTGTTTTAGAATCTTGGTCATCTTGATTTTGGTTGATTTTAAAAGGTATATCGTTTACATCAATTTGTTTCTCTTGGGTTTTAATTAGTATACCCAATATAGGAGTTTTATCTAAGTTAGCATCTTTTTGAGAATCATGATTTACTTCATTTTCACTCGTACAAATTTTAACAACGCCATTTTTTTCCTTTTCATTTGTTTGATTTTCAGTATCTACTTCCATTGTTTTAGAATCTTGGTCATCTTCATTTTGGTTTATTTTAAAAGACATGTCGTTAACATCAATTTGTTCCTGTGGGGTTTTAATTTGTATTTCATCACCTTTTTGAGAATCATGATTTACTTTCTTTTCACTCATACAAATTTTAACAGCGCCATTTTTTTCCTTTTCATTTGTTTGATTTTCAGTATCAATTTCCATTGTTTTAGAATCTTGGTCATCTTTATTTTGGTTTATTTTAAAAGGCATATCGTTGACATCAATTTGTTCCTGTAGTGTTTTAATTTGTATTTCATTATCTTTTGAAAATCATGATTTACTTCCTTTTCACTCGTACAAATTTTAACAGCGCCATTTTTTTCCTGTTCATTTGTTTGATTTTCAGTATCTACCTCCATTGTTTTAGAATCTTGATCATCTTTATTCTGGTTTATTTTAAAAGGCATATCGTTAACATCAATTTGTTCCTGTGGTGTTTTAATTTGTATTTCATTATCTTTTTGAGAATCATGATTTAGTTCCTTTTCACTCGTACAAATTTTAACAGCGCCATTTTTTTCCTTTTCATTTGTTTGATTTTCAGTATCTACCTCCATTGTTTTGGAATTTTGGTCATCTTTATTTTGGTTGATTTTAAAAGACATATCGTTAACATCAATTTGTTCCTGAGGGGTTTTAATTTGTATTTTATCATCTCTTTCGAGAATCATGATTTACTTCACTTTCATTCGTAAAGATTTCAACAGCGCCATTTTTTTTCTTTTTAGAAGCTCGATTTTCAGTATCGTTTTTCATTATGCTATAATCTTGGGTAGCCTGAATTTTACAGCCAGCTTCTGTATCTTTTATATGTATTTCATCTGAATCCCCCAAATTTTTATTGATGTTTTCTACGTGTTTATTTTCATCTCGATGTGATATTTTAATAAGTTCAAAGTCTAGATGTTCATACTCTTCAGATGTGGTGTCAGAATCCGTAGTAGCATCAATGGGTGCATTGGTGTTACTGAATTCGCTGCAATTATTAATTTTCGATTGAGTATCATCTGAATTTATTTGGTCAATTAAATTTGCTTAGGTTCCGACTCTTTAAAAGTGGTGTCAGAACATGTAGTAATATCAGTAGTTGGACTCAAATTAGAGTCGCCATTTAATTTTTGGTTCTTTATTTTCTTCTTTTTATCGCCAAAATAGGGCACTGGATCATTATTGAAACACATAGATTTAAAACGACCTCTTACTGGCAACATTATAACAGTTGCATCGTCATAGTTTATAGGATTCGGATTGCTTTTTGACGAATTTTTATAAAGTGAGACAAGTGGTTTGGTTGTTTTATTTATGCTCAATTCTCGATCATCTGGAATATGTATATTACTGAGGGTTAGATTATGATCTTCATATGCATTAATCTTTATTGAACCATTTAATTTCTCTATAACGTCATTTACGTAATGACCACTTGACTTTCTTTCGCCTACATTATATATATAACACTCATTTTGTATTTGTTTCTTGAGTATTTGGATATTCTCAATTAACTCTTTTACTATTTTTTGGGAAACACTGCTTTTATAATTTCCATTGTACAGATGCTTATCTATATGTTTCAAAAACCACAGCATTTTATTCGAATTCGCTTCGAAACCTCTATAGAAAACTGTATGTTTAAATAGACCTACATGTACTTTTTCTTTTTCGCGACTATTAAATTCCGTATTCAATTTGGTAGTACGAGCTGATCTGGATGGGCCTAAAATGATGTTATCTAAAACATCCTCATTATTTTTATTTTGCTCTCGTTTAAGTTCTTCACTCGTCATTTCTATGAGAGAATTTTCAAGTTTGGGGGTCGAATCCGGTGTTTGGTGTGTAACTGTCGAATCTTGTGAATTTGTTACACCGTGCTGCTTATCAAGTTTTCGTTGCATTTCCAAATTCTGTAAGAGTTCGTGTACGTCATCATTAAGATCTTTGTGTTGCATATTTTCGTAAATAACTCTTAGTTCTTCGAGTTTGATATTATTTTTAGTGCTCTCATTCATTTTGTGCAAAAAATTAGCCCATTTTTCAGAAAACGGAACTGAGAGCACTTCGTCATTGCTTTCATGTTTTTCTAATATTTTATTTTGAGTTGAGAATTCATGAAGAGATTTATCATTAATGAAGTTATATAATGTTCTAGGCTTTTCAGAATAATTATTTAATTCAATTTCTAAGTTTTTGTCTGTACTAGTGAAAAGCCCTCTAGTAGCAACAGTCGCCTCAGACAATGAAATTGTTGATAATTCAATTATATCCGTATCTTGTATGTCAACTTGTCTCATCTTTTGATATTGCTCTTTTATATTTCTCAGATTATTTGCATTTCCACTATGCCAATCTTGTCGCTTAACATATTCTAAATTTTTTGCAACAATATCTGCAAGCATAGGATCAACGGGACTGTTATTCGTGTTGTGCTCAATTTTTGGCCCATGAACATTAGACGAGCTTTCAAAATCATATTTCTTTTCGCGACTATTAAATTCCGTATTCAATTTGGTAGTACGAGCTGATCTGGATGGGCCTAAATGATGTTATCTAAATCATCCTCATTATTTTTATTTTGCTCTCGTTTAAGTTCTTCACTCGTCATTTCTATGAGAGAATTTTCAAGTTTGGGGGTCGAATCCGGTGTTTGGTGTGTAACTGTCGAATCTTGTGAATAATTTGTTACACCGTGCTGCTTATCAAGTTTTCGTTGCATTTCTAAATTCTGTAGGAGTTCGTGTACGTCATCATTAAGATCTTTTTGATGCATATTTTCGTACATAACTCTTAGTTCTTCGAGTTTGAAATTATTTCTAGCGCTCTCATTCATTTTGTGCAAAAAATTATGCCATTTTTCATAATACCGAACTAATGATGGCTCTTCATCATCATTGCTTTTATGTTTTTCTAATATTTGACTATGAGTTGATATTTCATACCGAGACTCATCATCATCGATAAAGTCATGTAATCCTCTAGGCTTTTTAAAATCATTATATAATTCAGTTTCTACAACTTCGTCTTTATTAGTAAATGACTTTTTAGTAGTAACAGCCATATCAGACAATGGAAGTGTTGTAAATTCAATGCTATTCTGATCTTGTCTCTCAACTTGTGTCATCTTTTGATATTGTTTTATCACATTCTTCAAGTTATTTGCATGTTCGCTACGCCTATGTTGTCGCTTAACATTTTCTAAATTTTTTGATACAATATCTGTTACAATAGTACTGTTATTCATGTTATCATTATTTTCTAGCCCATGAACATTAGACGAGCTTTCAAAATCCAACATAGATTTATCTACACTCGATGTTATTTGGCTTTCAGTAGAAAGTACAGATTTAGATCTTTGTTCGTTATTTTCTTGTAATTCCTCATTATTTTTCGATTTCTGATAAAAAATACTTTTAACTTTATTATTAGGAAAGTCTTCCGGTGTTGTGATACTATTTACTACTTGATCAAAATAATCAGTTGTTAAACCCTTATTTATATCATATGTTAACTCTTTATTCGAATGAAATGGGTTCCATTTTGAAGACGTTATAAAATTTTCGTCGTTAATTTCGATTTCAGTCTGTTTACGTAAGTACGGAAAATTTGTAACTGATTCAAAAGCAGGCTTTTGGCAATTATCGTCATTTTGAAAAGAAATCTTACTGGCCTTTGGATAACTTTTATTTTCTGATAGATTCATATCTTGAAGTACGACATAGTAACTGGCTTTTGCCGTAAAGCATTCATAGTATTATCTTCAGGAGATGTCGTGCTTGTAATATTTGGTTTGAAATTAATAATATTTAACATTTCGTTTTCGTTTTCTTTACTTGGGAACAGTTTTTCCATTTTAGGTTGGTTTTCCTCGTGGCGGCTGGTACTACATGTTTGTGTCAAAGCTTTTTCATACTCATTTAGTTGCTTGGTATTATAATGTGATATATTTTCACTATCTAAGAGTTGTTTATCTTGTACATTATCTTGATTTATAAAGTTATTTGATGTTGTACCTATACTATCATCAATATCGGTGTAAAATCTTGAGAAATCAACAGTTTCGTCACCCAAAGTGATATATACAAATTCTGGTGTATGATCAGAGATAGAGGGATATGCAGAGACCGTGGGATATTTACTACGAATATCATCTTCTGTATTATATATTTTATTTTTGTTCAATTGATTTTTTTTCTCGAGTTCCTTATATCTGTGGAAGGAAGTACGCCGCGTATTATCGCGACGTATATGACTATTATCATTTTCATGGGTATTTATAGAAAATTCTTATTGTCATTATAATCAAAATGATAATTAATCTGTTCAGGATTGCGTGACGATTCAGTAACAAATTCGTCATCTTCCTCTTGGTTAGAATTACAGATTGTATGATTATTTACCTTTTTAACGCCAACGTTTACAATTGTTGATAATGTAAGTTCGTAACCTTTGGGTTTCTGTGTACTTATATCAGAATCCGGGTACGTTGTGATAATTTCGGCGTCGTCGACGATTCTATTTATTATACCCACCATCAGCGTTTTTGTGACTTTTATTAAATACGCCATCTGCACGATGCCGCAATTTGTTATCGCGATTATTTGGAATATCTTCGTGTTTCTTATCCAAATTATCGTATAAATTTTGTTTTTCACTCAAAGAGATATCTGAAAATTCAGGCTTTTTATCAAAGTTAGTTTTTTCAAGCCATTGATCTTCGAATACAAGTCAATTTCAGAGATAGAGGGATATGCAGAGACCGTGATATATTCACTACGAATATCATCTTCCGTATTGTGCATTTCATTTCCGTTCAATTGATTTTTTTCCTCAAGATCCTTATATCTTTGGTGGAAATACCCTGCGTATTATCGCAACGTACATTACTATTATCATTTTCATGGTTACTTAGAGAAAATTTTCATTATCACTATAACCCAAATGATTATTAATCTGTTCAGGGTTGCGTGATGATTCAAGAACTAATTCGTCGTCTTCCTCTTGGTTAGAATACAGATTGTATGATTATTTACCTTTTTCACGGCAACGTTTACAATTGTTGACAATGAAAGTTCGTAACCTTTGGGTCTCTGTATAGTTATATCAGAATCCGGGTCCGGTGCAATAATTTCTGCGTCGTCAACGATGCCATTTATTATATCACCATCAGCGTTTTGGTCACTTTTATTAAACACGCCATCTTCACGATGCCGCGATTTGTTATCACCCAAAGAGATATCTGAAAATTCATGCTTTTTATCAAAGTTAGATTTCTTCAAGCTATTGATCTTCGAATACAAGTCAATTTCAGAGATAGAGGGATATGCAGAGACCGTGATATATTCACTGCGAATATCATCTTCCGTATTGTGCATTTCATTTCGTTCAATTGATTTTTTCCCTCAAGATCCTTATATTTGTGGGTGGTAATACCGTGCGTATTATCGCGGCGTACATTACTATTATCATTTTCGTTACTTATAGAAAATTCTCATTATCACTATAATCAAAATTATTTTTAATCTGTTCAGGATTGCGTGACGATTCAGTAACAAAATCGTCATCTTCCTCTTGGTTAGAATTACAGATTGTATGATTATTGACCTTTTTAACGCCAACGTTCACAATTGTTGACAATGAAAGTTCGTAACCTTTGGGTCTCTGTATAGTTAAATCAGAATTCGGGTCCGGTGCAATAATTTCGGCGTCGTCAACGATGCCATTTATTATATCACCATCAGCGTTTTGGTCACTTTTATTAAACACGCCATCTTCACGATGCCGCGATTTGTTATCACCCAAAGAGATATCTGAAAATTCATGCTTTTTATCAAAGTTAGATTTCTTCAAGCCATTGATCTTCGAATACAAGTCAATTTCAGAGATAGAGGGATATGCAGAGACCGTGATATCGTCACTACGAATATCATCTTCCGTATTGTGCATTTCATTTTCGTTCAATTGATTTTTTCCCTCAAGATCCTTATATTTGTGGGTGGAAATAACGCGCGTATTATCGCGGCGTACATTACTATTATCATTTTCGTTACTTATAAAAAATTTCTCATTATCACTATAATCAAAATGATTTTTAATCTGTTCAGGATTGCGTGACGATTCAGTAACAAAATCGTCATCTTCCTCTTGGTTAGAATTACAGATTGTATGATTATTGACCTTTTTAACGCCAACGTTCACAATTGTTGACAATGAAAGTTCGTAACCTTTGGGTCTCTGTATAGTTAAATCAGAATCCGGGTCCGGTGCAATAATTTCGGCGTCGTCAACGATGCCACTATCAGCGTTTTGGTCACCTTTATTAAACACGCCATCTTCACGATGCCGCGATTTGTTATCGCGGTTATTTGAAATATCTTCGAGTTTCTTATCCAAATTATCGCTTAAATTTTGTTTTTCACCCAAAGAGATATCTGAAAATTCTGGCTTTTTATCAGTGTTAGATTTCTTCAAGCCATTGATCTTCGAATACAGATCAATTCCAGAGATAGAGGGATATGCAGAGACGGTGGAATATTCACTACGAATATCATCTTCTGTTTTGAATATTACATTTTTGTTCAATTGATTTTTTCCCTCAAGGTCCTCATATCTGTGGATGGAAATACTTTGCGTATTATCGCGGCGTACATTACTATTATCATTTTCGTTACTCATAGAAAATTTCTCATTAGCACTATAATCAAAATGATTATTAGTCTGTTCAGGGTTGCGTGACGATTCAGTAACAAGTTCGTCATCTTCCTCTTGGTTAGAATTACAAATTGTATGATTATTTACCTTTTTCACGCCAATGTTTACAATTGTTGACAATGTAAGTTCGTAACCTTTGGGTTTCTGTGTAGTTATATCAGAATCCGGGTCCGGTGCAATAATTTCGGCGTCGTCAACAATGGCATTTATTATACCAGCATCAGCATTTTGGTCACTTCTATTTATCAAGCCATCTTCACTATGTCGCCGTTTGAAAGAAATATCATTGATTTCTTTATCCAAATCGCCGCTTAAATTTCTTTTTGGTATTACGGGGTAACAATTACATAAACACAAACTAATTATTAAATATAAAAATAATTTCAAGACATACATTATGAAAATATTACATTTAAAAAACAAAAGCAGAAAATTACAATTTGTTTTTCATGAGCTTAAAGCAATGACATTTAATAATATCGAACAAAATATTGTTTTATAAAATTCTTATATTTTTTTTAATTTTGTGACAAATCTACATTTTATATTCATTGCAATGTAGTTTAATGCCATTTTCACACCCTCAAATAACATAGTCTATTATTAAAGACACACCACTAAGATGTCAATAATGACTATCCTAGGTGAAGAGTATCATAGAGAGATGAAGATACATGAAGAAAGATTGAGAAATATTGGACTGATTCAAAACGCTCAATCATAATATATTATTTTTCATACATTCATATATTCTGATTTTATGAAGCGTAAACTATATATAATAAATCTTCGTTTAAAAGTCCTAGAGATTTTTATTGTTTTAACTACTCAAAAAAAAATCTGCTGCAGGGCAAAAATCATAACACTAGATTTGATTTGACGTTCTACATAAAAATATTGATAATTAAACGCAAAAAATAAACCAAAAAATGCACGGAATGGAAAACTACAAATAAAAAGATTGGATGATTATAAAAAAATGTGGCACATGAGAGAAACAATTGCATTAAGAAAGTGTATGATAGGAGAAAAACTGACGTAACAAGATATAATGCAAGTTTATATAATATCTAATAATGTAGTATAATAGCGAGGAAAAGCAAAAATCAAAAATATTTATATTTTGTTATATATTTATTAAATTTTGATTTTTTGCATAATTCTTTCTCATATGTTTATCAAAGGTCCCATGAAAAAAGATGATGTTTGACAAGCATATCTCTAACACCATCTTTTAGTGGTTGTGTTTGTATGTCTTTCTTTACTGGCAATTCCCAATCTGGATTAAGATTAAATGCAAACTGTGATAATATCCTAAGCTCGCATTTCACCTGTACCCAACCTGGTGAACACATAAATGACCATGGACTGTACCATTTCGAAACAACTTGAGTGGAAGAACAAAGAACTTCCAGCCATAAATGTAGTGCTTGTTCATTAAGACCCAGGCAAACAAGTGAACGCAATTTGACATCCATTTGGGCATGAGCAGAATCATGTGTTAAATTGATAGCCTGAACACATCTGTACAATAGTTCTTCTGGAGTTAGAACCTTTCCATCTTCATCCAAACGGTACGTCTTGCAAAGTACCAGTCGACTATACACAGAGTCAAAATCACGTTCTACTTCACGTGAGGCCGCCTCTTCAATAAACAACCAAGGATGACATGGTCCCCCTGTGTATAAGTGTAACAAGACATATTTTTCACTAAAGTTTAAGAACATTTGCTTCACATCACAAAAATTTATAAATATATAATAAAATATAAATAAATGAAAATTATATTATTATAAATTCATATGTAACTTTCCAATACTTATTGCTCAAAGTCTATTCAGGTAAAATAAAGAAATTTTTTTGAGAACATTTCAATACATTGAAAATCCCATTTTAATATTCTGATTCTAAACTACTCATTATTATTTTTTACCTAAAAAATTTGGTCTCCGCATTCCATGTTCTAGAACACGTTTAAAAGCTGGTCCTAAGAAACCTCTCACAAGATCTGTAACAGTTTCCCAAACGCTGTCATCCCCAGCACTTGTATATTGCTTACTTCGCTCATCAAGCAATTGAACAAACTTTGCTGGAAACCAACCTGAAAACAACCAAAAATTTACAATTAAAAAAATATGCATTACTCTTTTTTTTTAAAATGTTCTTCACACTCAACAAGTTCAGCATGTACCTCGCAATCCATTAAGCTCCCCAACCCAACAGTGCTCATCTTTTTGACTTAACACTGTAATGATGTCATTCTTACGAAAACCTAATTCATCGTCATCGTGCCTTTCAAAATCTGTAAAAAAATACAATGTTAAATTGAATTTGATTACAGTAGTAATATTTTAAAGGTATTTTTTTATTGAAAATAGCATCTAAACGCTTGCATTTGATAAAACAAATTGTAATGTCTCCTATCCCCTGATATGCCATTCTGTCAAAGCTAACTAACTATTCTTAAAAGATAAGTAATATATTTTTATATTTTATGAATAAAAATAAATCAATTTCGATAATTTGCTATAGTTTTGTGCCAGAAAATATGATTTGCTAATTTTATGTACTCTCGACGTTTTAGGCCATTCTGAATAAGATCAAATTGGGAAAAGTATGTGTGTGATGTGTGTGCGTATGTGAGCCGTTATTTAGTCGATGTTTTCTCAATAACGGCTGAAATGATTTAAAAAATTTATGATATAACTCGATAAAGAATTGCGTTGATTATTTTTGTGCGACGATCGGCCAAGCAATTTCTTTATAATTAGCAAAAAAGTGTAAATTTTTTCGTCCACGTTTTAGCTAACTATTTTGAACCGATTTTAAAAATTCAAAAACTGTCCAAAAGATATTGGATTGGGAATCGCGTTGATTAGTTTTTGGTAAAGATCGGCCGGACCGTTTCTTTGTAAATATATGTTTAAAAAGATTTTTTTTTTTTACGATTTTGATGAAACACTGTATGACAATAGATATCGTAGTTTGAAATCACATACTAAAATATTACAGACCTACAATATTCTAATCAGAATCTTTGTTAAAGCATATGCGCGTTCTGTGATATTTCGTAGGATACTCAAATTTGCTTTAAGGGGTTAGGGGTACTTGGAAGCACGAAAAAATGAGAATTTTTAGTATTTTTTGTTTGTTATTTAACAATGTTTTTATACAAAAATATTAATACGGTATTATTATACAATGTTTTGACTTGAAGTAACAAAAATTTCAGAAAAAAAAATTACATATTCTCAAAGTTATAGCTGTTTTTGTTGACCCTGTTTCAAAAAACGGTCCTGGCGGTGACCATCATAACTCCTTAGAGATTCATCTAAAATCAATCAAATAAAAATAAAAAAAAAATAGTTTTATAAATAGATAATCCTGGACCTGATCGAAGGTTTTCTTTTTTTTTTTGCAGAAATTAACAAAATGGCAGCATCAGAAAAAAAAATCTAGATTTTTGGGTAAAAAGTCAACAGTTAATTGGTCTTAAACAATTGAAATTTTTGAAAAAATAAAAATCCTTCGATCAGGCCCGAGTTTATTATGTATTCTAAAAGCTGTATAAATTTCATTAAAATTTACTAAGCGGTTTTTGAGTTACAGTGGTCACCGCTTCAAAAAACATAGTTTTGAGAAAAACGCGTTTGAAGTTTCACATTCAATTTACGTACAGAAATTCGAATTATTGAATTACTTAAACCGAGTCATCTATTTCTGGGCCATATAATAGTTCATCAGTCATTGTTCAAGTTTCCAAAATTTCCATTTGCTGTTGCCTACAAAGCATTCTGGCCTACAGAGTGTTCTCGTTGACGCGCTGATCTGCCACTTTCACACGTGCAGCATCCAATTTTTCAGCATACCAATGGGAATTATACCTACAATTAGGTCCTAGGGCATCCATTACCAATAATAATGATTATGTATATTCATTCAGCAATTTGTACAATAGTAGAACTAGTATTCACGGTTTCTAGGCATATTATTTACACTAGTTGGTTGAAGCTTTTAATTTTTTCTGATTATGGATTCCTACACATCTTGAAAGTAAATTATCATTGCTGAGATCGTCGTAAATCGGTTTAAAAGCTTTTAAAACATCAGAAGGTGAGGGAGAATAATCTTGAGTATCAGTATCGAGCTCTCCACTTGCGTCAGCGCGCTGGTAATCGTCAACTTGAAATTTTCAGAGAATATTTTCAAGATATTACACTTAATGAAAAAGCAAAAAAATAAAAATCGATTTCTCAAAAATTCCAAGTATCCCTAACCCCTCAAGGCAAAATGCTTCTTGCAACGAGTTTTCTTAAATGCTTACCTAGTAATGCTTTTGCCCTACGTTTACGATTCCTTGATACATTAATGTAATTCTCATGATCCATTGAATGACTTTCCATTCTATAATCCGCCACAAGAACAAGGTTTGAACATAATTTTGGTTCTACTGCCATAAAATGGCGAGCCACCTGTAAAATAATTTATTATAAAATTTTAATTTCATACTATGTCACATTAGTCCTAATAAATTGAATGACCTGCATAATGGCTTCTCTGAGGTCTACCAAAATTTCAGTTTGCTTTATGTTTTTTGATTTTATATCATCAGATGTATCATCACCAAATAATAATGCTTGAATCATTGATCTTGATCTTTTCACTTGTCTTCTGTAAAAGAAAGGTAAATAAATATTTTCATAGCAAAACTAAAAATAAGAAATAATTTAATTATGTTATGTTAATTATTTCTGTGTGTAAATTATGGTTAATAAATATATTCTGATATTAGATAAATAAAACCTAATACAATGTAACCGAATTTTGAACATGGACCTCAGACTACAATCCTAACACATAGATAACACTGCTTGACAAAAATGGCATTTTTATATTTTTTCTCGAACTAAGAATCGCACGCTGATTTCAAATATACATTCCGTTATTCCGTAACAGCTCTAGTTTTTGAGTTTTAGGGATCTACCCCAATTAGTCATTTCGGCTATGATTATCGCAGTCTAACGAATAACTAAGAGTTTTATCTGCTGTTTTCGGTATAGATTTGACTTTAAGACATTGTGTCCATAATCCAGATAGTTTTTGTTACACTTGTGGGTCAATGTTTTGAATTTGCGCAATAATGATATGTAGAAACCAATGTTAAAAGAGAAAACGGGGGGAATTAAAAACGGATATATTTGATGTAATTGATTTGAATTTGAACACCAAGACATCAGGACTTTAGACTTTGGAGGAGAGATATCAAGGAAGGTGGGACATTAACATGATGGCTGACAATTTTTGGTGCTTATGGCAAAATCAGCCAGGCCTTGTCCATCAAAAATCATATAGAAAGACTTCTAAAGGCACAAAATGAAAATGGGTTGTATTTTTTATTGTAATTTGACATAAAACTAGCATATTGGCATATCTCAAGAACTAGAGCTGTTAGCATTATAACATCTGAGGAAAAAAATTTTGCGTCACGCAGTCTTATCAATCTCTATCTCTTCCCAATAAGACAAAAATTTTTAAAAAGAATTTAACCAAGTGAGACGATAAACTTGAATTGATTATTATTATTTGGTTAGTCAAATATTATAAATAGGTATTTACTATCAAAGCTTTTGATTTTGATTTGGCTATTTAGAAAAGTTATAGAATATATCACTAACATTTAGTGAGCGTTCATTGCAAATTTCAGAGTTCCTATCTAATTTAAAGTCACACTCTTCTTATGTTTAAATGCTGGAAGTTAATAATATATCATATATAAAATACTTATTATTTTCACTACATCCTAACTTTATGGTGTCAAATGAAAAAAATATTCTAATATATAAATATTGCAAATATTGTCATTTCAACAAACTCAATTTTTGAGAAATATATAAAACTGTACTACATGAAAGTATAATCTCAGTGATAAGCATCACATTTAAAGGATCATTAGATTTGCAAGATTCTAATGAAGCTCAAGTATCATATGACTTACTTTGTTAAGTGCAATTTAGGATTAGATACAAGTCCCTGTTCTGCTACTAAGTAAGCCAAGTGCCGCCTCCTATGTGCTTCTATAGCTGCATTTGTTAATGAGTTCGTTATATCAAAAGATACCTGAAACATGAAAAAACGTTGTTAAAATTATGCTAATATCAACATGTCATAAATTTATTATTTTATAATTAATTTTTTGATTTTATATGAGTTTTATTTTTCAAATGATCACCTTCAATAAACTTTCAATGTCCTGCAATTGGCTTGGAATGTCTGATAAAGAATTAAAAATTTCTGCAGAATTTTGTAACTGTTGTAGACTTTGTTCATTGATTTTTAACATACCCAATGTTATTTTAAACAAAATAATAGATCCATCTAGAAAGAAGCAATCCCATATTCGCAATAATACTCTTGTATGTACCACAGAAGCAAACAATGTTAGAAACCTATTAAAATATTAATCATTTCTTAGTCTACTTCTTTTTATATAAAAAAGTGCACTAATATGAGTATACCAGTTTTGGGTAATTAGTGGTAGTTCCAAATCATGCTTACGAAGAGCATTGTCCAAATCGGGTAATATCAAAGTGAACAGTGATATTAACACACGTTGGTCAGTTTGAACCCCTTCAACAAAAGTATTAATTATAATATTTTATTACAATAATAATAATAATAAATTTACCTATGAGAGAACTAGAATAGTAAGACGCAGGAAGTATATTTTCTATAATAGTGCAAACTAGCCAAAATGCATCTTCTTCCTCACAAAACAAAAGAAGTGATGCTGCAATTGTTGCCAAACCTGAGCAATACCTAAATATATTTGTTCTAATTTAGTTTAAATTTTAAAATGGAATATTTTATAATAAAAATGTTTCAATGCTTATATACGTAAAGTTATATTTCAACATGTACTCTAAAAGGAAATAAATATAATAATATTTTTCAATTGAGTAAATTATGGCTATTAAAATTCAAAATAAATAATGACCATTTTTTAAATTATAAATTAAAATATGCAAAATTAAAACATGGAAATTTATGTTTGATGGCAAATAGAGCATCCATTGTTAATATTAAATACATTTAGAGTTGATAAATTCTTATTTAAAACATTGTTCATAAAGCAATGATCAATAGCTTTGATAACATCTTTATACAAAATAAAAACTCTAATTAAAATTTTTAATACTCAAACCCACCCAACTTCGGGATATAACCAGGCAAGACATCTAAGCAGCCTTCGCAACCTAGGAACTCCGGGGCTGTTTAAATGCATGAAGCAGGCATTTCCTGGCATAACACGTAACAAATCTCGTTCAATCAACAAAGTTTCTGATAAATTGTCACCACTAGATTCATGAATAATTTCTTGATAACTCAAGTCTTCTTCATTCTTTTTCTTTTCAGCACCTAGAAATGATTTGAATATAACTAATATTTAAAGAACATGAAATATACTTACACTATTATAAATAAGTTAAATAATGACTATTATATTATATAATAAAAAAGTACAATATTAAATAAATAATAGTAATAATTTATATGATAACTGACAAATATTCTTGCTTTAATAGTTATAAAATTCATATAAGCAAGTAATGTGTGAGTGCATTTATCTGTAAGCATGCACCAAAGTTACATATAAGCACCTGATATTTGCATCCAAACAGTTGGTCTTAGAGAATGAGGTATCCCAGAATAAACTAAATTTTGTGTCTCAGGTGATTTTATAATCTTATATGTTGAATCACATGTTTCAGACTTATCACAAAATTGTAGATGAGCCATCCATTGTAATCTGTTCAACCAGAAATATTGTAAACAAATATTTGCATAATTGACAGAATATGAATTAACAACATAATAACTTACTTATGCTGTGAATCTTCTATAAATTTTTCTTTAAATATATTTGCCATATCATTTTTATGATACTTTTCATCATATTGAAAACCAAACTCATCATAGTTATTTTTATCAGTGATATCTGTACTCTAAAATAATAAATATTAATGAATCAGTATATATGTGAGATATTAAATTTGTTTTAATTATCACTAAATGTAACTGTAAATAAAAGAAAAAAACACATACATTACTGTCCGATTCTTCTAGCAATAAGTCCTTAGGCCACATAGTTGGTGTAAGAGCTGAAAATGGTCCCCCAACCACTGGCGAGCACAGCTCTTCTGTATGATCATCTTCTTTTTCATCAAATTCAAATGAAGTATTTTGTATCGTTCTCTGTAAATTTAATGGTTTATTAAATATACCAAATTGAGCATATAAAAATAGAACAAATAATTAAAGAACTAACCTTGTGATCTTCTTTGCCTATATAGCCAAGTCGATCTCGATGATTAAATAATGATTTTGCTAAGTCCATATTTATATGAATTTAATAATCGGTTTAAATATCAATTGACAATTTTCATTAATTTCGATGTCATATTTACTTTATGTTGATTTTTATAAAGAACATTTTTATTATCATTCTATTCGCACTATATTTACCCGTATATTATTTTTAACTATAAATTTATATAAATAAATAAATAAATATTATTATAAACTTTCTCGACAATATGCTATTTTGACAGCTCATAAAATTTGACAACAACTTAGCATTATGAAGTTGTCTCATATCCAGAGTGCTTTCAAAAAGGTGGGTTATTCAAATTACTATTTGATAAATTTATGATTTTATTTATATATCCCACGCGCTCAATCTTATATTTAATTTTATTAATAGTTTTTTATAATTTATTATAAAAGTTCTTATTAAAGAGTTTATGTTTCTGTTGAAACAATCACTAAATATCACTAAAAAAACTGAATACCACTAAATAATAAAAATGTATCCATTTTGTTTGAGATCATTTTAAGATATATATTATCCTAGGCAATATAATAATATGTATATTATTATCAAAGAGTTTTTTTTTAACCGTTAGATTAATAATATTTTTGCCTTGGACGTATTCACAGAAATACGAATAAAGTATAATTTTTTAAATTTCTATGCCATCATAAAGTCTGTTTTTAAAAGCTGAAGAAATTTTGAATCAACATAATAATTTCTCCTGTCATTTAAAAAAATGAAATACTTATTGATAATGATTTATGTTATATGTAGGGTATAAATATACAGATTTTTTAATATTTTTATTTTTAACAGCAATGAGTTACTCTATATTAGCGATTTAGCTTTTTATTTATTTATTTATTTATTTTAAAAGCCGTCAGTATAATAACATAATAAATGGTAGTCTGCCCGAAGGCAGGTCCATGATGTGAGAGCTACCACAAATAAATGATTCTCTTGCCCCTAACCACCATTCCCCCTCCCCATTTTTTTATTTCATATATTTTCCTTTCCGAACTTCTGCTTCCATGCTTCTTGATCCTGTGCTTCGGCTGTCAGTTCCCTGTATTTTCTCTTCTCATGTAAGTCGTCAATCGTCTGCATTCTTCTTCTTTCCATTCCTTTTGTTCCTTCTATTTTACCCATGACGACGTCGTGCAGGAGGCACTCTTTATGCAAAATAGAGTCTTATCCAGTTTCTTTTTCTTCTCAGAATTGTGCTGAGCAGAGTTTTTTCTTCGCCCACTCTTCTCACAATTTCTTTATTTGTTATATTGTCTGTCCATTTTATCTTCTCCATTCGCCTCATTTCCACATTTAAAAACTCTCGAGGTAGTTCTTATCGGCCTTTCTTAGAGTCCATGTCTCCGATTCGTACAGAGCTATCACGTAGCACTTTATTAGTCTCTTCCGCAAGTCAAGACTCAGTTTGCTCGACAGTAGCATCCTCTTCTTTGTGAATGCCGCCTTGACGCTTTCGATCCTTGTCCTGATCTCTTTCGTGCAGCCTCTGGTCAGTATGCTTCCCAGGTATTTGAAGTAATCCACGTCTTCCAATTCTCGATTTCCCACCGTTATCCTCAGGAAACTATTTCTTTTTGTGATTCTCATCACTTTCGACTTGTCTATGTTGATTTCCATTTTGTATCTTCTACCCACTTCGACGATTCTGCTCATCATGTCATCTTTTGAAAACCTATTTTTGAATCTTCTTGTGACTAGTTTTAGAAAATGTTGAACACTGGTTAGAGTTATTACTCTGAATATAAATTCTGTATTAAGATCGTCATGTAAGGTCTATTGCTGACAAACCATGAAGCATTGGTGGTCTGTCTCAAAATTTTAGACTGCACACTAACACAATATTTGATTTGCTCGCACAGCCCCTTGTAAGTTAATAGCTTATTATCAAGAGTTAATTGACAATAGAAAGACAGGATAATTCAACTGTTCGAATTCTTAGAAGTTTTAATTTTGTGCAAATTTGATTGTTCCATGTCAATCTGCATCTAGTTATTTGACACAATCAGTATTGTCTGGTCATAAATTTGCACTCCTGAGCATGTTGTCTTGTTCAACATGATTGTCACATGATTCAACTTGCTTGCTTGTTGATTTTTATCCACTGTTTTTTTGTCCAGTTCTTAATAAAGTTTAGATGCCTTTATAAAATAGTCAAAACCATAGATGCATCAGCGTGTGTCGAAGGAACCGCTATATCAACAGCAAATGTACAGAATTTAAAATATTTATTCAATGCATTAATAATTAAATTCAGAAACGTAAGAAAAAAAGAAAATGTAAAAGATTTATCTAAAAAAGTAATTCACATGATACTTTACCTAATCTTGCTTGATATAACTGCAAATACTACAAACAATAAAAACTCTTCCTATTATAGATTGCTTTATATTTATTAAAATAGTTCATATTCTGTATTTAGATGCTTAATTGTATGCCGGACTATATTACTAACATATTACTTATATTACACAGTAATAATTACATGAGCAAAACATCTTTTCATCAAAAATAGAAAACTACATTTATACAAGCTATCTCGTTATTAAAATAACTACAAAAATATAAAATTATAGACCTGCAATAATTTATTATAACTTTTTACCATTTCATTGATGTAATAAAGATAAGTATCAGACACAGCAGTAATAATCTGTTAGTAAGTAATACTGCTAACCAGCTGTAATATTTAACAACATACAAAGCTATATCAAACAAAAAAATTATATTATATAGTATCATTAAATAATATATATATATATATATATATATATATATATATATATATATACATGTGTATATATGTAGCATATTCGTAAACTTATATTATGTATTTTTATAGTATATTTACTTCTGTGGTTATACCTAATAAAATAGTTTACTTTTAAGGACATTTTTTTCATATAATTTAATACATATTAATTGATTCAGTTTATACATTTGATTTTAATTTTTTATTTGAAATTTGGCCGCACAAATCATGTGGAGCGTATGTAAATAAATCTTATGACTTACAAATCTAATAAAGGTACACCTGGAAGCATTGAGAGTACTTTAGAAGCTGGCTCATAATGACCAGCAATATAGAATGTATCATTGTTTTCATATATGGTTGAGTAACGACTTGGATCCATTCCAAGACGATTGATATATTTTACTACATCCAACACATCGCATTTGTGAGAAATTGTTTGCACATCATTCTCATCAATATGTGGTGATTCAAATAGAGCGCCCTAAAATGAATAAAAAACCATATGTCATAATACTATTCATAAGTAATTACTTTTAAATCAATTATTTAAAAAAAAAGTTTACCAATAATTTATTGAATGTAACAAGCTGGCGGCGTAGATTCAAAATACATAAATAATATTTACAGGAATAAATAAAAACAAAATACTCACAGGATATTTTAGTTGCTCTGCTGGGCATTCATACGTTTCTTCGGGATGATAAAACCATCGAACCCTAACTTTATTTTTGCTAGTTGTCTCCCATAAACATTCAATGCGTCCAATATAAGGTCGAGTTGGGCTAGCAGTTGATAAAAATACAGCACAATCACCCACCTGAAATTTGACAAATTTGATTTGGTTGATGTAATAATTGTTTTCATTTTATCATGTGTATCATCAATTTATTTTCTATTGAAAATTAGTTAACAAGAACTAATTGCCATATTAATTGAAGGTTACAATATGACTAACTAATTTTTCTTAAACTGGAGCAAAAAAAATTTGTGTCTTAATTAATATTTTTTAATTTTCTAAATATTAAATTCAATAAAAACTACAAATTATTACTTACAGAAATAACTTCATGACCTCTCTGTATAGCACGGTGAAAAATTTTCTTATTTCTCCCTTTCCTTCCAGCACCTTGCCAAGTCCAAAGTTGTCTTGCAGGAAGAAATGCAGCCATAGGACTTTTGACACTTTCTTCTGTTGTATCATTCAACTGCGAAGATTCATTGCTTTCTTCTTCAACACATGCTTCTATGAGCAACTCGTCTTCCTTGGAATCAGCTTTGTCTTCATGCTATAAAATAGTTACATTATCTTAATAATAATTATAAAAATGTTGATAACAAATTCAATGAAGTAGACGATTATCCTTTTATATTGAATCATAAATAATAATTTCTTTTGCTTACTAAGTTCATATTCAAGCTCTATGTTTATATTATCTATTTCACTAATTCTATTTAAACATTTTAATTATATAAGGTTTTCAAATATCTCCCTTCCGCCTTTTTATATTATAAACCAAGAGCAAAAAAGCGGAAGGGAGATATTTGACAACCTAATATTACCTATCATTCTAACTTCTATTTTAGTTTGCAATTTGTTGACATATCTATATAAAAAGATAAATGTGTACAAGTGAATATTGTGAAATTATTTAAAATTAAAGATTCTGAGATCAAAATAATCGCAATTAATGCATATTCATGACCTATATTTAGTAGTTTGCCATTGTAATACAAATAAATATATAACATTTTCCTCTCAATTTACATAATAACATAAGTGACTTTAAAAATAAAACCAGATTATTTATTATAATATTTACATTGGTCGAATCAGCATTCCTAGAGGACATAAATGTATCTCCAAATGCGCTGCGACGAACGATTTCAGTCCTTTCCGAAGCTGACTGATTCTGCTGAATCGACAATGGATTGGCTAATGGTGGTGAAGAAGAGCGATGTCTGTGCCTATGTCTACGATGTTTCTTATGATGACGCCTTTTGCAGGATTCGTCACGGCATCGATGTTTTTTGCGACGTTTACGTTCGCCTTCATCTTCTCCAGCTGGAATGATTTAATATTACTAGTTGCAACTAGCATTTTGTCTTAAGGCAAGTTGCGTGAGCTTTCCAATGCGCCCAATGAACTTAATCAATAAGAATTGAGATTCAATTACAGTAACACCCCGATTAATGCCGTATCGTTTATCGCTCTTTTATTTCAACCCAGGTTTTCAAGGGATGAATGAGGAAGACGTCGAAGAAATAATTCAAGAAGCGTGCAGTCTTTCTCATTGTGAGCTCAAGGAATGAACTGAACAAGAAGAAAACAAAAATGTTGACAGCAGTCATTCAGCAGAAAAGCAAAAAGAACTTTCGATGGTGTTTGTAAAAAGGAGTTTGTCTACCATAACTGAAATAATGGATCAAGTAATTGAAAATTGATTCGAATTTTAACAGGAGCTCTAAAGTAAGGCATGATGTTAGAGATGCCCTATCTGTTTATGATGAACTTTTAAGAGAACAAACTTTTAAGAGCAAAAGAAAAAGTGAAACAATATTAGATGATTTTGTCACAAAATGGCAAAACACTGAAAACGCGGAAGGCTAACTAGATATGACTGACTTAGAATGTTATTTGTTTTTTCAAGAATGTTCGTTTTGTTATTTATATTTTGTCTTTATTTTTGCAAGAAATAATAATGTGGTATTAATTTGGGCTTTAAATAAATGTTTGGTTTTGTTTTTAGTAAAAATAACATACTCTTTAAATGTAATACCGAACCAATTTCCTAGCCGTCCTCCTCTAACCACAATATTTCCATGTAAAGATAGCTTCGTTTAGCGCTGTTTCGCATTGCGCTCTACTTTGATGGAACGTATTCCCCGCGTTAAACGGGGCATTCCTGTATTTAGGTAAAATATTCAACTGTTTATTTCGAAAATAACATTTTCGCCTTTACTAAAAATTAATCACTGCGATTATCAAATGATGTTAGTCAAGTAATTGAATTAATTTTAATTATTTTAAATTAAGTTTGATTCATTTTATTTCATTGATTACCTGTTCTACAAATGTATTTTATTTAAGTGTAGATGTCAACTGTAATCAGTAGCTACACACTAATCAATACAGAACGTATACATATACTTTATCCAAGGCATATAATATTTTAGTATGTTATTTCAGACAAAGGCTATCGTAATACAAAGTTTCATAAAAATCGTTAAAAAAAAATTTTTAGAACATTTCATTACAAAGGAATGGTCCCACCAATATGGACCAAAAACTAATAAAAGCAATTTCGAATCAATATCTTACGAACAATTTATAAATTTTTAAAATCGGTTAAAAATTGTGGGCTAAAACGTGGACGAAAAATTATATATTTTACTGCCAATTACAAAGAAACGGTTCGGCCTATCGTTGCACAAAACTGATAAACGCTAGTCTGTATCGACTTACATCGAATGGCATTTCTGAGAAAACGTTAACGCTAGGTCAAAAATCACCTCAGATACACACAATTTTTTTCCAAATTTAGTCTCAATTGCAACTTAAAATTAGGAAAGCGAATTTTTTCTCAAAAATAAACTTCTCCTTCGAGAAGTTAATAAAGAACATTAAAATCTGAATTAATTAAAATTGTTGTTAATTTGGTATTCACCTTCCTCCTCCCTGCGTCGTTTCTTTAACTTTCTCATTCGCTTGCGTTCCCTGCGGGCTTCTTCGTCGGACATTTGTACTTTACATGTGCTTGTCGGAGATGATGTGCTATCGAGATCCTCGAGTTCGGTACCATCCTCTTCTTTTATTATTTTATTGATCTGCGTCTCGACCGTATCTGAGCGGCTAGCGCGCCTCTTTCGTTTTCCCAAAGATAGCAAAGGATTTGGATCATATTCTAATGTACAGAAAATTATAAAATTTATAACTAATATATAAGTCTAAATGTAAGAATTTCTATTAGATATTAATATTCTAACTCACCAACTATAGGATAATCGTGTTCAAGTAGTCTTATATCTTCTAGTGCGATGCGACCATTGTCACCATCATCGAATTCTACGGAAATATATCGGTCCGCATCGCGTTGAGTACCTTCAGGCGAAGCGGACGTGCCCGGGTAAAGACACCGATACTGCTGACTCCAATAAGCGCATAGTCGGGTACCCGGTGGAACTTCATTCACTGACGAAGGACACAACTCAAGAAACTGAAATATATGATCATTATTACTAAAATTACGATTACAAATTGACAAGAAATTTTAATACACAAGGAATGCAATATAATATGATCAAAAATATTAATATATTACCGCATCTCGCATTATTTCCTCTCTTGACAATATGTGCGGCCGATTACCCCTTTCTCCATCTAAAGTCACTGCGTATACATCAGGTGCTTGCACAGCACTCAGTCTACCCGCATAAAATAATCCACCCATTGCACACAAAACTCTTAATCCATCTTTTTCAAGATGCTCATCAGTCAATGCACATTTTAAGAGAGGCTCTGCTTTCTTCGCGGCCTTCATTTGTCGTCGCCTTTCTCTTGATCTTTTATTTTTATGTTTTCTTTCGCGCCTTTCTTTGCGTCTTTGTTCTTGCCTTTCTTCTTCGTTGATAATTTCATCTTCTTCAGGGCACTCTACTTTTACACAAGACTCATTATCTTTAGAATCTACTTTTATCATCGCTAGCTCGCGATTGTCTTCTTCATCTGAACGAGGATTTGATTTTGTATATATGATTCCGCCTTTACTCATTGTGCTTTTGCCTGATAAAAGATAACCAACAATTCCACCTTTGGTCTTTGGTTTTTTTGCAAAAATAGTTTCTGTCGTAACCCGTCTGCCGTGCCCCGATGATAATTTCTTCGGCCTTCCAACTTTTCGTTTTTTAGACGATGATGTCGATGGACAAGGCGATGGCGTCTTCAATACTTCTGTTGACATAGGACTCAATTCCAGACTTTTGATTTCTGTATTTTCGTTTGAAAGATCATATTTTTGATATTCGGCTGGCTTTAGACGCGTCATTTGTTTCAAGGTTTCTTTATATTGACGTTTCAATTCGGCAAGTTTTTCTTCATATACGAGCAAAGATGGTTGTTCCGCCTGACATTCGTCGCTCTCATGAGACTGCTTATTAATATCATCACGTTTTAACTCATCAAATCTGATTTCGCAAGACTTATCTTCTAATTGCGATTTAACATCCACTTCTTCTCTAAATCGTTTTTCGGCGAGAGCGCAAAGAAGTCCAAGGCCATCTAATTCTGAGTTTTCATCTTCAACATTTTGTTGATTATTACATCCGGGACTAGCTGTGTCATGTATCGCACGAGTTTCAAACTCTTCAATGCTGTTTGAAAGTAATTCTAGACCACTTAAATCTGGTTTATTTTGAACCTCCACTTGTTCACATTTTTCAGCGGAAATTACTGGTCTATGGTCATCTTTGGCTTCAACTTTAGGCGTCAGCATCTCTACGATTTCCTCTTTAGCAACAATTTCACAAGAAACTTCTGATTGTTGTACAATCGTTTCAGTTGAAGTTACCAACTCCTCTACTCCAGGTTTTGTTTCAGTCGGAACATGTTCACGCTTTTCGGATTTGGATAAATTTAAAATCACAGGTTGGGGTTCTATCACAGATATAGTTGAAGCTATTTGCTGTTCGGGTACCGTTTCGGGTTCGCAGATAGTTCCTTTTTCAGCAGACTGAGTGTCCTCGTCACTATGCAACGGTGCATCATCAGTTTGATTCGATGCATCTTGTACATCAGGTTCTACTGTTTCAGGGGGTGGAGTCAGGCAAGCGACCGGGGAAGTTCCTAGGATATATATATATATTTAAACTATTATATATTACATAATGAATTTGATTTAATAAAAAAAATTGAATGTTCTGTCTAAACGAATTGAGAATAAAAAGCGTTAATCATAAAAACAAGTATAATGCAATCACCTGTACCAGCATCTTGATGATAAACCAAATGCGCTGTTACAACCGCCTCTTGTTTACCAGGAGACGTTTCTTCCAATTTCACTGAAGTCATGCGCGTAGTTCTAGTCTTAGGCAACCCTGACGCATCAGCCGATGCCAACGCTACCAATCTGGTACTGTGCGTCTGCGTGTGATGATGTTGATGTAATGTGGTCGCACTGCCAGTACTCAAATATTCGGACAATTGTAGCGGTTGAAGAGGAGGGGGTAGAAGATAATTCGGCCATACGACGGTTTGCTGGAACGGTTCTGTTGGAACAAGAAAAACATATCTCGATTTAGAATAATAACTTAGAACATCTTCTAACAATAAGTATGTATACTTTTTTTTCCAAAATTTCGAATATAAATATTTTAATAAATATATACATTATATACCTAAAGCAGTAGGTGTAGGTAGTAATATGAAGTTTCCAGTCAAAGGATCCCTCACTAGTTGAACACCTACAGGAGGCATAGGCATAGGTAACACTGGCTCCAAGGGCAACTGGGCTATAATTATGCAATAATATAAATAAATAATAGATATGTTTTATACACATAAATCTTAATTTGTTATTAAATTAAATCATAATTCATAATTATAATTATCAAAACTGTTTAAATTTTAATTTACTCACCAGGATACTGCCAAAGTGTTGGAGGTCCTAGTGAAGTCTGCGTCGTGCTAACAGGCCAAACTGATGGCACGGATGTCCCTATTATGGTGTCAGCTCCCAAAGGAATTAAACCTGAAGGATCTCGTAAACCTTTCAGAATAACAATTTTTTTTATTTCGATTTGATATTTCAATATTAGATTTGCTTGATAATAATATGAAATACTGCATGCACTTAAAAAATGTTATTGTGTCTAACTAAACCTTCTATTACATAATGTCGAAATATATATAAAAATAACCGTATTGTGGATTATAATACCAAAATAACTAAAAACTTCTAGTGATATGATATTAGTCGTCTGAAGTATTTATCTGAATGAAACATAGTCTTTTAATAACGTAGGTGCAATGACCATTATTCATACGTCTCAACCCAGGGTAAATCAAACCAATAATTTACCAATCAAACCAATTACAAATGCATGGTTATAATAATTACAATCATTCAAAAAATATATTTTAGATAATCAGCGTAAATAATTGCTTTCCATCAGATTACTGACTAATTACTGATTACTTTGCAATAAGCAATGTTTTCTAATCCAATATTTTGGACGCATATTCTTGAGATGTGATATAATCAACCGTTTGATTAAGAATTTCAGATAAGAATCTAATATAATATTTATTATATATTATATTAATATTATAAGGTAGAGCGAGGCTTAAAGTTCACTACCATTATCTCCAAAATAAGTAAAGTTTGTAATGTTTCAACGATACTATTTCAGTAGAAAAAAGAAGTGCGACTCCATCGCATTAAATCAGGTTACATCGATATCTGGAGATAAAGGGACATGTAATAATATTCTTAACAAAAGTTTTTTTTTGTCTTTGGTAGTTTTCTTGGCTTTGAGCTCTTTTATTTAGTTAATGATATTTGAATAGAATTTTAAAGTATACGTTATTGCATTGTTTTATAAGATGTATCGTTATTTTTAAATTAGATTCAATCGCCATAAAGCCTCTATAAAAACTTACATGTGCGTGGGGTAAAAAAAAAAAATTAAACCTTTACACTGGCGAAAGTATAAACAATAAGAAAATGGTAAATAAGAAAGCAAACTAACAATAAGTTGAAAAAGCAATTTCACAAGAGATAATTTATATTAATAGTTATTCCAATTCTGCTGATCGATATATATATATCAGACTGAATACCAGATCAAGTTGAAATACAGTGTGATCTTTGTAAAAAAATGAGCCCGTGACATTTGAATTTCACATTAGTTCCATAACGTAGTTACTATTTCGTTAATCATTTCAACATTTAAAATAAAACATTGGATAATGGATCATTCTTTTCTCTAGCACTTCCATATTACTCTGCCTATGGGGTAAAAAGGGCAGATGACAAATTTTAGAAAAATAGTAAAAAAAAATTAGCTTTATAATCATGACCTAATTGAGAATTTTACTGAACATTGTTCGATAGTTGTCTGTTTGATACGTGTTATGCGAGTTCCGTTGGTTTAGAAAGTATAATTACTGAAACTATCTGAAATAAATTACTATCCTATATTAAAATCAGCATTAGCAATTAATGTATACAATCAAATTAATGTATACCATTTTACACACATATATGAAAAGGCAGAAAATATGAAATAACAAAGATTTTTTTAAATTTGAAAACAGTTTTTTCAATTTCAATGATCAATTTTAATTAATGATATGAACAACGCCATGTTTATTTGGTTTGAATTTTAGCTCATGTATCATCGATATCATTTTAGTTTCACGTCAACATCATTTAATAGCTCACCAATTTCGCTGCACCTCGTTTCCTTAGTCGATGTGGCCCCTATGATCTGAGTGCCTGGCGCCAGTGCCAGTGGCACCTCTTGGTTGAGCCGTTGCCTTGCGACCGCAATACCCACAGGGATCGAGGATACTCCTAAAAAATACCAATTAATAACTGTTGATACTCATGAAACATACATCTAACAATATAACTCTAATATTGACAATCCCAACAAATACTTGATTCGCATTAGGCTTTCATGCGTTTTATTATTTTTTTACATTTACGTGTTTCATAAACTAAAACCTTTATGAAAAGTTCTATTTTGCTGCGCTGTATGTATACAAGTAAAGACTTTGAGATTAATTTGCAAAAGTTTTGAATGTGAATTCTTGTTATTCAAAATTGTGCATTTTGAATTGTGAATTCGATATTTGTAGTATTTTTAATATTGTATTGAATAGGCCAAAATTAAATTATATTTTATTTAGATTAAGAATAAACGCATACAATATTTAGAATAACGTATATAAACGTACTGATATTTTGCCTTGAGGCAAGTTACATGAACTTCCCGATATGTGTAAATTGAACTTCCCGATATGAGTGATTAAAAGTATTCCGAGTGGATTTATTACATATAATTGAAAACGAACAAACACGTTAACTCGGAGTATTTTCTAAAAGCAAATTTTCAGAATTCAACCATTTTTATAATTGCACCGAGCTTCCGTAAGATTTTAATGGTTTAATGGTACCAATTACTCTATCGTTATATCAAGTAGATCGTCTAATTTTAATTTTAATAAATGTCAAAAAAAACTACTCATTTTCTCAAACTGTGATGACATAATATTTCAGTAAGTTCTGTAAGACCATAATATATATCGCCAAAAAAAGTTTCATGAAAATCGACCTAATTTTTTTTTCAACAGTTAATTACAAGAAAGCGGCTCGGTAGATTTTCACCTAAAACTAATCAGTATCATTCCCAACTAATATCTTTCGAACAGTTTTTGATTTTTTTAAATCGATTCGGAAGTATGAGCTTAAATGTGGACGAAAAGTTCAAAACTTTTTGCCAAATGACAAAAAAAGGCTTGGCAGATCGTCGCACAAAACTGACAAACGATAACCCTTATCGAGATACATCAAATGACTTTTAAATTTTTGAAATCGGTCCAGTCGTTTTTTGAGAAAACGTCGATTTACGGAAAAAAATCTGCTCACACACACACACTTTTTCCAAATTTGGTCTCATTCGATTTAGAATGGCTTGAAACGTCGAGAAAACATAAAATTAGCGAAACGGATTATTTGATGAAAACAAACTTTTCCTTCGGGAAGTTAAAAAATAAGAACAAATGCCTACTAGTAAGCTGACCATATTTTTATAAGCGATAACCGTGACGGCAATTTTTAGTTAGTACTCATAGTATTTAACACATTTTTTTAAATAAATCAATAGTTGGAATAAGAAGTGCGAATGCTTTTAGTAAGAACTTTATTCTCCGCTGCGAACATTCAATCACTATGTTTCTATAGATATTTTATTAGACAATACAAATCATTCTTTTGTGACATTTGCTAAAATAATATGAACCGACTGCAAAGCAAATAATAAAGTTAGTTTGATTCCAATATTTACAACATGTGTCGATTTTCTAACAGTTGAATTTGTGTGCTAAATTGAAAACTTAACTTATACACTACATTTAGTTTAACAGGTTCGAAAAAATTGACACTTAATTAAGCAATTTGGAGAGTCGTTAGTATGCTGACCTTGGTCCGAGGATTTAGGCGATGTGTTAGCCTCCATTTTAACCAAGGCGGTCGCGAGAGATGCATCGGCCGGACCTCCACCGTTTGCATGATGTTGATTATGATGGGAGGTGCTGATTTCCGAGACCTGGCAAGGTGTGGCCTGTGGTTCGCGTTTCACCTGTCCGAGAAAAAAAAATATATTCATATAAAATACTGTAGACATATCAAAGTACGTTTAGAATCTTTCCACACAAAGACCTAACGCCACAGCCGCTTAATGAGCTACGTAATCATTAAGTGGTCGCGGCGTCTTGATTGTGCAGTATCATAAACATTTCATCGCTAGGGGTTTTGATTCATTTTGGCACATCTGGGCCAAATACTTTACAAACAATGAAGAAATTTTTCTTAAATCCGGCATCTATTATTCAACGTGAAAAGACCCTAACTCGAAAACCTGATATGCAGGTTTGTAGCCACTTCAACTCGGTAGAGAGAGCGATACATGCTCAGTCCATGTGAAGTCCATATGAATCGCAAAAAGCGTCTGCAAGAGTCACTATCTTGCTTTGGAGGGTTCAGTCACACTTTATTACATAAAACTAGCTGTAAGTGGAATTCTGTCTTAAGGCAATTAGGGCATCGTGCCTTAAGGCAAATTGATGGAACTTCCCGTACCAAAAATTATTATTTTTTTAAAAACGATTAACATTTTTGAAAAAAAATTACTTCGAAAAAATAAGATTTTTGAGAAACTATAAATTTGACAAAAAATTACTTTTTTTTGAAAAAAAAAAAAATTGATTTTGAAATTTTGAAAAAAATGTTTTCTTTATTTTGACATATGTTGGAAGATCTGAATTTTTTTCAAAGCAATCGTACTGCTTTAACTGCATAGAGACAAAATATAAAGCGCCGTGCCACCGTCTAACGCATAAACATTGGTACGGAACCCATAGGAATGGAAACAAAATTTATACTTATTGTTGAAATCTCTATAAAATATCTGATAATTTGATGTGCATATGTCTAATGATCATTTTTGACCGCCAAATGGCATTTTTTTTTACTTTTTTTGTTAGAGCTCCGAAACCGCTAGACCTGCCCTTATGAAAACTTGATCAAATCTTCATCTTGTCAATACAAGTAAAATGTTTTTTGAATTATTAAAATCGGACGCTCCGTTCTCTTAAAAACTGAGGTACCGTTTTTGGCACTTTTTGCCCCATATCTTCAGAACGGCTAGACCTACCTCCGCCAAAAACTAATCACCACGTCTCCTTATCAATACTAATCGAATGTTTTTTAAATTATTCAAATTGCTTCATCCGTGTTCCCGAAATCTTCGACGAAAATTTGTATCCGCACACACATACATACACGCACACACACACACACATATACATCCATTTTTTCTAAGGTATGCCAAAATAAAGATATGTAAAAATTATGTAATGAATATGTAATGTATATGTAAAGATATGTAAAAATTTTCATTTTCGAATTTTTTGCGATTACTATAACTTACCCTACGGGAAGTTAACAAACGGTTTCATTTTTCGAAAAGCATAACACGTTTGTCACTTTATAATTCATATATAACATAACTGTTCTATAATTAAATTATTTTGTATTACTTATAGTGATGATTCAACACGTTCACAATTAGTACGAATATTCTACCTCAATTTACAAATTTCAAGTATATTATTTCAAGTATTTCAAGTAAATAGTAAATACAACTAACCGTAAGTCATGCATTCGAAATAAAATATTATTATCATTAGGGGAGACTGGGTACGTGCCATAGTAGTGAGAGTCGTTTATTTTTATTTATTTATTTATTTATTTATTTATTCATAGGCAAGTCGTAATCAATAATAATCGATATTATTTCAGGCTCTTGTCAAGCTCATTGCGTTATAATAGCTATACTGATTTTTAGATAGGGTCCAAGGAGAGAATGATGAAGTATAATTGTTCAAACAAGTTCTGATTATTGCTTTCTTATATACAAAAAGATTACTTTGATTGTGATTTTGCTATAAGTTGAACATTAGTAGTTAATTGCCAGCAAATAATTTTTGCGTAAATAATTTAGCTCGATCATAACGATGATTTGTCTCTGTTATGACATGTAGTTCTTGTCTTTTTCGAATAAAGACTAAAAAAAACAAGAAAACTTCAATATAAAAAAGGTTAATCTTATTATCTTAAATGATTCTGTTGTATTGTATTATAAATTTCTGACAAAAGTCGTTTCTGGTAATAAAAGTTATTTTGGTGTTTATACCTATTGTTTTTTAGCCCATTTTTAAGTCTGTCACAACTGTTCCTAGGAGTGTGGACGATTGTGAGACTCGCCCTTTTATTGTATATTTAGATTTTATGAATAATCCATCGTACTTAAAGATAGTATTTTAACATTTACACGCAGACAAATGTAAATAATTGAGACATAAGTGATTGTAGATACCTATACATCCTAAAACCATTTAAATGTAATGAATATTTTGCACTAAGTTTTTAGGTTGCTTTCTCCTGCACCAGAATTATTGATGATGGCGAGTTATATGTTAGCAATATTATAAAACTCGAAGAAAATTATACCATAAATATTAATTAAGGATTCAAAACCACGAACATTAAATAGATGTTTAGTCTGTTATTGTGATCTTAATCATATTAAATTTTCTGCTTCCTTTTGTAAAAAGTCTAAATATTTAATTTAATATCAATCCATCTAATTATATAATTCACTAAATTATTTTAAAAAAAATTCTTTCAACAAGTTGAATTGGTTACTATCAGCCCCACATTAAATAAAATATTCTAAATAATTAAAAAATAAAAAATATGAAATCGTAAAAATTATTAATGAAAGAAAAAAAAACAATAAATCGATTTTAAACGTTCCTTAGTAGTTATTAAATATTCAAATCGTAACAATCGTTAAAAATCAACAAATTTAGAGTATCAGACTTATTAACTTACTATGATTTTAATTATTAACTGCCTAAGGATTTTGGCTGAAGATATTGAACATCGCATTTTATTGGTTTGCAATTTTTTACTTTGCGATTTTTTTGGAATTCATAATATGAAATAAAATATAAAAAAAAACATTTATAAGAATAAAAAATCATTTATATATCAATATTTGGCAAGACAGGATATATTGAAGATGTTGCAGCTCAGTTACAAAACTGATGTTTATCGAATTAGTCGGCCAAAATACAATTTAAACTATATATGATGATAATATTAGTAAAATATATCTATGGCGACCACGATAAAATCACATATTCGTAGCAATTCATATTTCTAATTTAAGTTGTAATCACAGCCAAGGGATATTAATAAATTATCAATAAAGCAGACGTCCTTCTAAAAGTAGATGTCCAATTATATAATATAAATGTTATGCAAGGTACATAAATGGATTTATATCGGAGAGCTCGTTCCGCTCTTTCGCTAACGGCACATTGAGATTTTCAAAGGCTTTGTGAGTTTTCCGGTTAGAAATAAGTTGCATTATGCATTTAAAAACATTTGCATATGAAATTTATCGTATACAATTAAAATACACGCATGTCTACAGAGTTAGATAAGTTGAAATTATATTCGAATAAAGAAAGATAGTCCTATCCAGAGCCTGGTTGAAAATAGACACCGTTATATTATTGAATTGCATATCTGAACTATTTTAATAAAACCGAGTAAGATTTAATACAAGCTTATTGAAACTATAGAAGCTGAAGGCTGGTTGTAACAGTTTTTTAATTAACATGTTTTGGGATCAACTGATTATATTTCTACGAAATAAAAATGGATCTTTGCTGTAACTATTCCACTATCAAATCAAGTAAAAATAATTCCACAACTGTTGTTCATTCTTTCACAATTAATCATTTTCTAGAGAAAGTTACACCGTTTTGGGGCTAGTTGCAACGTCTACCAAAGCAAGTAGTAACGACATAAACGGTAATAATACTTCTGATAATTTATTTTTTACTTATTTTCAAGAAAATAGACTTGTTTCCAATTATAAGCAATTCAATTGAAAAGTCAGTTCATTACTCTGACCAGTTTAAAAAAGTTTGCTTGAAAAAAGATACGAAATCATTTCCTCAATATACCACTATACCAATAACTTTTATGTACAATAATAAAAAAACAACAAATTTATAATTTAAATGTTTCATTTATAAAAATTTATAATCTAAACATTAATAAAATTTAAATATTTAAAATTACATTGTTTTTTTTTTGACACAAAAGAATATTTTGCTCATAATATTTTATAAAAAAAAAATTAATAAAATTATCGACCATGACGGGATTCGAACCCGCAATCTTCGGATCCGAAGTCCGACGCCTTATCCGTTGGGCCACACGGCCTTGTAAAAGCAACCCCATTCGTGGGAGGAAAATTTATTTGTCACCGAAACTTTGTTTTAATTTAAATATTTCAATTTTAAAAATTATTTCCATGGCGATAAATAAATTTTCCACCCGCCAATGGGGTGGTTTATACATGACCGTGTGGCCCAACGGATAAGGCGTCGGACTTCGGATCCGAAGATTGCGGGTTCGAATCCCGTCATGGTCGACATTTTTTTTATTTTTTTTATATTAAATATAAAAATTATTTTCTACTATTATGAACAAAATATTCTTTCGTGTTATAAGAAACAATCTAACTCAGGAAAAAAAAAAACTAATTTGAGACAAAAAATCATCACTAAATGTATTGTTTCTATGTCTATTACTCACAATAATATACAGATAAGGTGGCACACCCTGCAGGCTAATTTTGTTACTTTTATTTTAATTTGTGCGAATAGTTGTCATAATAGCTATTCTTATATTTTTTTCAAACTAGTGATCAACTCTACCAGCCAATATCTAAAACTTTGATCGGTTTCGTAGTTCAATAGCAACGAATATTATCTTTTTCCAGAAGTGGAAATATATTTAATCTGGTCTGTTTGGCATAAAGTGCATACACCTATATCTATAATTTGTTGAGAAAAGCTGTTTATCAGTGGTTATTTGTTCAAAAGGCTTATAAAAATTTGATCTATTTTGGATGAATTTCTTCTTTAACCTTTTTTGCTACGAGAGTGTAGTGTAATATCACTAGCAAACCCGACGAACTCCGTTTCGCCACCAGATGGTTTCGTGAGAAAGATGAAGAAATTTTTTGTTTGTTTTATATTTGAAAAGAAAAAAATTGATTTTATTGCACAACAGTAATGAATTTATTTTGATTACAAAAATGAAGTGTTTTTTAGTTGAACTTCTTTAAGTAAATAAAAGTGAATCCGCAAATTATCTGTTTCATTGAAGTGCTTTTTGGTAAACCACATTTTTTGTTTTTTGTCCTGACGTTAACACAAACAAAGCGGATGGTTTCCAACTCGTGAACAGGCAACGTATAACTGCCCATGAGAAAAACAATGATTTTCTAAATAATCTATTTGAAATTTATCCCGCAAACACTAAGCGATAGGCCTTGCGACTTGTTATTGCGAACGCAAGGGGAACTGCAAATTGCAATCGTTTGAAGTCAAACGGAAGACCAGTCGGAATCATTGGTCGTTGCGGCAAGAATTGCTCGTTGACTTAACTAAGCATAATTCTGATAATTCTCACTAATGTCATTACTCGAATTTTTAATTACGGTGCGAGAAGTTCCAGCAATTTGCATTAAGGCACGATGCCATGCAACACTAATTTTGTTAGCTATAAACCTTGCGGAGCCCGAGACCTTTCCAACGAATGCAAAATTGTCGAAGTCGGTTCGTGCGTTCTGGAGTTATTTCGTCAGTAAGGAAAACCCGACTTATTTTTATATATGTAGATATAAATTACAAGGATCCAATAACATATTTTAAACGTACAGTCCACCTTAGAAAATAAGCAAGATAATAAATAGTAAAAGACTCATTTGTCATGTTTATTAATAAAAGTCTGAAGAGTAAATCACATGTAGGTTAACAATTTAATTTTTAATATATATATTTTGCCGAGTGGCCAAAGATATCTGATGTCAAAGATGGAATAAATAAAACCGGTTAGATTTGTCAATTCAGACCGCTTTTCTTCAACTGCGTTGTTAAATTTCGTTAATTCTTCAATGTAGACATCAAAATTCATCGTTCAGTTGGAAAATAAGAGTAAAAGTTCCTTTGTAACCAACTTTAACTGGACGACCAGAGCGGTTTTCATCTTTGAGTAAAAAATCATCAAAACGCATTTGGCAAACCAATTTAGACAAGCCATTTTTTCAAGGCTTCGTCTTCATAAGCAGCTTTTGTAAGCTTATATGCGATTTTACCTTTGCAGAAATAAAGAAGCAAATTATGACAAAAAATTTTGATTTGATGTTCTGACTTTCAATAAAAAAATTCTCTTTACTGATTGCCAGCTTAATTGCCTACTATTCAATAACGAAAGATATTTTACATTTGGACTAGGCAAACCTAAAAATTCAATTCAAACCATCTAAGAGTGAAAGTCGCACTCAGTTGCCAACCTAACACCATATATTTAGTTGATATAAAACATAATATTGTACAATTTTTATACCTTTATCTCACCGACCTGCAAAAGGGCAGTATGTGCCGGAGTTGTCCTACTGCATCCCGGTATTTCTGTTTTGACTTGAAGCGGCTCCATCCAACAGGCCGTGTCATTGGCGGCCGCCGCGGCGGTCGTAATGCAAGAAGAAGTTGTCGACGAACTCAGAGTTTTCGACAAAAGTTCCAATCGCAGAGGAGAGTACGGCGAACCGGGCGGCGGTGTTGGTGCACCGCCAAACGAATAACCGCCGAAGAGAGAGTCAGATATTGACAAGGATTGAACTGAAAAACAAATATACAAATAAAAATTAATATCATAAATTAATATAAAAACTAGCTGTAAGTGGAATTCTGTCTTAAGGCAATTAAGGCATCGTGCCTTAAGGTAAATTGCTGGAACTTCCCGTACCAAAAATTATTGTTTTTTTAAAAACGATTAACATTTTTGAAAAAAATTTACTTCGAAAAAATTAGATTTTTGAGAAACTATAAATTTGAAAAAAAAATACTTTTTATTAAAAAAATTTTTTTTTTTTGAAAACAAAATTTTTTTGAAAAGAAAAATGTTTTCTTCATTTTGACATATTTTGGAAATTCTGAACTCTTTTTCAAAGCAATCGTACTGCTTGAACTGCATAGAGACGAAATGTCAAAGCGCGCAAATGCCGCGCCGCCGTCTAACTCATAAGCATTGGTACGGAACCCATAGAAAGGTAAAAACAATTTATACTTATTGTTAAAATCTCTATAAAATATCTGATAATTTGATGTGCATATGTCTAATGATCATTTTTAACCGCCGAATGGCTTTTTTTTTTATTTTTTTTATAAAATCTCCGAAACCGCCAGACCTGCCTTCATGCAAATTTGATCAATTCTTCATCTTATCAATACAAGTGAAATGTTTTTTGAATTATTCAAATCGGACGCTCCGTTCTCTTAAAAACTGAGTTACCGTTTTCGGCACTTTTTGCCCCGTATCTTCGGAACGGCGAGACCTGCCTTCGCCAAAAACTGATCAACACGTCTCCTTATCAATATGAATCGAATGCTTTTTGAATTATTCAAATCGGTTGATCCGTGTTCCCGAAATCGTCGACGAAAATTTGTATCCGCACACACATACATACACGCACACACACACACATACACACACACACACACATACACACACACACATACATCCATTTTTTCTAAGGTATGCCAAAATATTCAGAAACCTCTGAAACGTAAAGATATATAAAAATTTTCATTTTCGATTTTTTTGCGATTACTATAACTTGCCCTACGGGAAGTTAATAATTAAGAGACTGTTTTTTAACTTGACTGTTTGGTTTGGTTTTTTAACATCGAAATATATACATTATATTTCTTCTAATATTATAACAACTTGGTGTATAACTACATGAGTAAACTGATGAAATTGCAGCCTTGGATTTACATTGGATAAAAAAAATCAAGAAAAGCGAACAAATTGTAACTTTGAAGCAACTGCCCAGTGGGATAAATAAAGCTTAATGTGATAAAAGGTGTGAAACATCTTCTCTGTGAACACTAAATGTATTTTGTGTAAAAACTATTCTGAAAACCATTTTGTTTCTTTTAAAAAGCATATTATTTGGAAAAGATCTTGAGTTTTCATTCATAGTAAAATTGAGCTCGGGAATAAACTTGTACAAAAAGGAACCAGCAACAAGAAGTAACTTAAACGATACATCCAAATCTTTTTTGATATTGTCACATAATATATTAATTATCTGCATTTGCATTATATAATAGAGTAAAGAGGAAAGTTCTTAAACGCTAAATGCGTTCAAAAAAATGACAACTCCGTAGAAAGAAACGAAGAAAATTATACAATGTAAATACAAACCGCGCAGTGCTGACAAGAAAATATCTGCGCTTGAGGAGAACTAAAATAAATATCTGTGATATTTTTACATATTCCTTTTTTCATCTGACTTCAGGCTTGCTCTGTCATCTTGAGTATGATTTATGATCTATTATAAATAAGTACGTACTTTGTGAAAGGTCGCGCCACAATAAATTCTCGCACACGGTGTCCTTGCGATTATACAATATACATGATTGTGAACAAGTAATATGGAATAACAGTCGATTATAGATACACTGTGCCCAGAAATTCCTAAAGACGCTTTTCTGTTCACTGACCGCAATCGTTCATGGAAATTTATGTGTAAACATATTTAGCCATGGGCGTCATACTCAGGAACTATTTGAAAAGGAAAACTGATCAAAATTCATGCCTCGCTGATGTTGGCAAATAGATTTCAATTCCCACTTAGTCGATTATTTACATCAGCATACCATGAACTTTAAAGGCCGTAAAAAAGGCAAACAATACTCAATCTATATTTTTAACGAGTTAATTAATGTATTGAGAATTTAAAAAAAAAATAAAATTGAGAATATTCACAAAATTTTGATTCTAGAAGGCGATGAATTAAGAGTGTCAAACCATTGGCACCTGACCATACCCATGATTTTAGCCCTTCAAAAGTCATATTTGAATTTGAGCAATTATATAGTGAAAACCAAACCAATTATATCACAATATATAGCACTTATCAAACAAACTACTATCTGACTATCTTCAGTAAAACTCCCAGCTTATTCATCATTGTAGAAATATGTTTTTTAATGTTTTTCAAAAATTTGACACTTGGTCCAATTTATACCATGAGCTGAGAAAAAAGAACTGCTAGGGGGCAAACAGGTCCAATGTCTTATTTATCTTTTGAAGGGATTTTACAATATAATAACTACATTATTCAACCAATGCAAAATATAAATTTCATGAGTATATATTTCATAGAGAGAAGACTGTATCTGTCCTGGGTCTGGTAATTCGTCAGAAATATTCATCAGCAGAGTTGTAATCAGTATTTATTACAAAAAAACTAACAACGAAAGAAAATCCTTTTGTTATAGATTTTCAAACATTGCCGTTTATCTCTCGATAGCAAAGACGTCAGAATCAAAGTGATGGCTGGTTATACATCTCTATAATTCTATTTTCAAATATTGTTGTTATTTTTTTAACTTTACTTGTATTTGAGATTTCTGAAAGTGAACTGTTTTACCCGTAGACCTTTAAGCCCAGCTCTACCTTCGTCCAAGCTTACTTACGAGCCATATTTTTATAAAACTAAATTTACAGAAAGTTATATTAAGTAACATTGCTTTAAATGATCCTTATATAAATCATTTTTAGTTTTACAGAAATATATTTGTATGCATGTGTTGCCTAATGTATTATTTATTCAAGTTTTGTCACAATCGTTTAGTTTTATCAATTTTAATTGAATACGACAATTTTATTTGTAGAACGTTACAAATGCAACAATTTCTATATAAGATTGCAATTATCAATTCCTACATATTCAATATTTTCTATTACCACCCTAGCTAAAATATAATACCTCGATAACTAAATATCATTTATACAGATTCAACTGTACAATGCCCAATCGAACAAAAAATTATGAACTTAACCTTTGCATGAAAAAACTACCTGAAACATTTCTTTAACGTTCGAATGTGACGGAAACCTAATTGTGTGATAAATGCGACAGCTTGGCAAATTTTATGTTAATACTGTTTACAGGCTCGACAGAATAGAGGTGACATTATTACGATTATTACCCTTGTGCGTAGGATGAAAGGCTCCCGCAGATGCAGAAGCGAATCTAGGCTGGCACAGCTGGGGGGCGCCGCTGCTCGGGAACAACGAGTACACCCCATATCTGGCGATGTCTGTAATGGAAAAATAATATAAAATAGAAAACAAAACTTACGTAAAAGTCTATATTTTATGTGAATATATATATCCATAAAAAACTGAAAAATTCACTCTTATATTAAAAACCGTGCTAAACGAAAATCACTATAAAAAGACCTTTTGGTCGGTTTTTGATATGATGAATAACAAGCACATTGAACAAAAAATATATATTAATATATTTAATATCAAACACATTTAATAAATTATAGCTTCATCTATAGAATAAAAATTAGCAACATCTATTATTTTTTCATTATTTCAGATTTTCAATTTTGGTTTGTAAAGATATAACTGTTCTTTTACCTTCTAGCTTTTTAGTTTCACCTTTAATGAATTTTTGCTATCAATTATATATGAATACTAATTAAAAATAAATATTAAAAACAATGGAGCCGTTCAAGTATTACGTAAGCACTATACAGGGGCGGGGGGGTTGTTGATTTGCTTATTTTGGGTTGACATGGGGGGCAGGGGAGTCTGGATGATGATTACGTCATAGGTAGTATTTTTATTTTTTACATTAATTGCAAAATGTTTACATAAGCATGGGGGTAGGGGGTAAGAGCTTTGTTTACTTTTGCTGACAAGGGGGATGGGGATGGTAAATAATTGTAATAAATCTGCTTACGTAATACTTGAACGATCCCAATGATGCGAATGATTGTTTTGATATTGCAAACAAACTAGCTTATACACACATATAATTTAGTTTGGATCATAAAACATTGTGTTCCTATCATACTACATATTTCCATCATAGACTATAGTGACTATACGCTAAGAATTCGTAACTGTAACATACACTTTGTTGTGTTGTATATTGACAGTGAAACAATGAAAACAGCAAATTATAGTTTAGTGTTTATAATTTCGTGTAAATTCAAAATTAATAAATTTCCTTAAAAAATTGTATTTTCAAAAACCGTGTAAGGTCGAAAACGTGTTAAACGAGGGATAGGTGTAAAAAGTGAAAAAAGTAGAAACAAAAATCTCACGTTGTTTGGAAATTATGAGCCTACCTAGAGCTTTGGAGAAAATGTGACCATTTTTCGGTTATTGTGGTTAATTTTTATTAATTTTGTTTATTTAAACTTTAAACGTGATCATACATAACAATTCTAACACAATAAAAAATAATAAAACATTTGCACCAAGTTTTCAATAAGACTTTATGATAAACTATGAATTTTAATCATTTTTAGTAATTTCATGTTTTTACTTTTTTTACTTGATTGTTGTTACATTTTACAATCCTGATTAAATGCGCCAACTTTTGATTGAACTTGTCAACATACTTTAATACATTTACTTTTCAAAGGAGGACTTCTGAAAGTCTAACAGTTTTGAAAATTTCAAATTTATAACAAAGAGTTAAAAACTTGAGCAATTGCCATTATTTTTCACTGTGGAAATACTGTTTGTGGTTACGGTTCTAATGTTCAAATAGACAAAAGTAATAAAAATTAGTCACAATAATCAAAAAATGATCACAATTTTAGCAAAGCTCTAGGTTGCACTTATAAGCTGAGCATTTACGGTCAATACTATCATCCCGTTTCGGCTTGACGTTGAGGTCTGGGACAGTGTATAAATATATATATATATATATATATATACATATAAATAATTAAATAATAATATATAAAAATAAAGTATTGCAAAAACATGCAAATTAAATTAAAATTATCAACAATTACAATTACAACCTTTAAAGTTCCATTCCAACAAATAAATGAAATTAAATAATCAAAGCCTCAATTTCCTTAATGTATATAATGAACACATGATTGTTTATAACTACATACTGCTTTTCAGACGAATGTTATTGTGAGGTTCTTAATAAATATCACCCTATCATGTAAAAACATGAGGTTAATTTAAAATAACATATTAAACATTCTTGGATTTTGAAATTTAACCACAAAATCTATATATGTATGTATATTAGGGTGGTCCTTAACATGATCATTTTCGTATTTGATTGCTCCCAAGGGCTCAAATGGTTCTAAATTGATAAAAAACAATCCTCTGAAAGTTTTAGCTCTTAATATTAACTTTTAGATAGTGCGCAATTCAATCAAATTTCGTATGGAAATAGCATGGAAAAAAATTTGAAAATTAGAAAAAAAATTTTTTTAGGTATAACTTAGCGACAAATGAATTAAAAGTGATATATAGTGTCATTTTTTATTGAAAATTTGACGCTCTGCAAAATAGGTTTTTTATAATTTGTTTGTAGAGCGTCGAATTTTGAATAAAACACATTCATTTGTTCGCTAAATTATATCTAAAAAACATTTTTAAAATTTTTGAAAACTTTTCCATGCTACTTCCATACAAAAAATTTGAAAGAATTGCGCATTGTCTAAAAGACAATATTAAAAGCTAAAACTTTCAGAGAATTGTTTTTTATCAATTTGGAACCAATTGATTCCTTGGGAGCAAGGAAATTCGAAAATGTCCATATTAAGGACCACCCTAATGTATTATGTATATGCTACAAGCCTTGAAGTATCTGACGTAAAATGTGATTTGACTTAATTTTATAGAGATTTATATCAATGACAAAACTATTGTTCGGCGTGATAAAGATATAATTTATTCGTATAGTGTATAAATAAAATGAACACGTTAAAATGACGAAATTACCGTCAGAAGCTGTGAGAAGCGTATCGGCGCCTGTCATCTTGGCGGCCTGAACCGCCGGCAAGAGCGGAGGCCACATGGATGTGCGCGAGCTCACCGGCAAGCCCGTGGGTCCTAGCATAACGCGCTAATCTGAAATAAAAAGAAACATTAGAATAATTTTAAATTCTATTTATTAATTATTGCTTATTTCGTTTTAATTATTAACCCTTAACGAACGAGTGCCGCCATACTCGCGACATTGTCAATATTCTAAAATAATCGAATGCCACCATAAACGCGGCAAGACGTACCAAGAAAATTTTTAGTCTTTTCTTTCTGTAATATATTTTCAATATAGGCACAATGCAGTTGAAAAATAAATTTGAATATTGGTCCACAAGCAATATTAGACGAACTATTCAAATCCAATAAAGAATAAAGCGATATTAACCTTCCGTCGGTCGGAGTGGTCTGACCAGACTTTTTTCGACTTCAATTTAAAAAAAAATTTTAGTAATTCTATCGACTTGAAATTTCTGAACTTTTCCTAAAATTTCATTAGCTGTCGATCAATGATCAGAACGAAAAAATGTGTGGTTCAGCCAGACCACTCCGACCGTTCGAAGGTAAATAAATATCCGACCGACGGAGGGTTAATTATGCACCCTCTCTCGTTCTGGAACTGAAGCACTTAATTTCTTAAAAAATCCGTCGACCTTCTTCTAGACATAGTTTTTGGCAATGCGCTCGTTCGTTAAAGTTTAAAACAAGTAGTTGAAAAAAGCATTTTGCACAAGACAAGTTGCATGAAATATCATCAAAGGAGTTAATACCATCCAAACACTCTAATAAAAGACCTGCTAAAACAAGTACCTATGAGAAGATTAAGAAGAAAGTGGCCGCAAAATTTAATAAATTAACAATCAATATATTTATGTAAGGAAATTCCCCACTGGGGGAATTTCTAAAAGCCCTGTACCCGTCTGCAAATAACCTCATTGAACCCAAGGTTCAGATTGGTTATAAGAAATAAATAAAAAAAAAGTTGCATGAACTTAATCAATAAGGATAGAGATTCAGTTATTTAGGTAAAATGTTATTTCGAAAATAAAATTTTCGCTTTCACTAAAAAAAAATCAATACGATTTCCAATTGGCAAATTTCAAACATACATAACTGCAGAAAGAAAAGCCCAAAATGTTTCTTATTATTAGTATTTGTAATTGCATAAAATAATTCGTTTAACACATTTCAGGTTCTAAAAATGCATTTTATGTGTAATATGTAATCAGTAGCATAGAACGTACATATGCTTTGGCATAGATTCTTATTAGAATCGCCCGACGAAGTTCTACACATTGATTATTTTATATAAATCAACCCCTTATCCTCACCGTGTGCCTATAATATTTTAGTATGTTATTTCAGACTTGTATTTCAAATCTGTCGTTATATTAATGGACCGATTCTGCCACATAACAGACTAATGTTATGTTATGAAGAACTTTCTATACTGAATATTGACAAAAGCCACGTGGTTGCTATAAAAAAACGATCTTAGATAACAGGGTCTTTCTGACACAGCTTCATAATATACGAGTGACGTTGCAGTTTATGTGTAAAATGCCTGAATGCACAGAAAATACACTACATTTTGACAGTAATCAGTATGATTCAGTAGCATAATGTATGGGAGTTGGAGCGTAACATGGCTTTGCCATAACATTTTTCTGTTATGCGGCAGAATTGGTCCCTAAGTTTAATCAAAATAGTAAGAAGTTTTTCTACATTTGATTTGAAAGAAACGTCTTGGCTGATATTTACTATTCAACACACTTCCCAACCAACATCTTTTGAACACTTTTACAATTTTTACTTTGTTTGTACTTTCTCGTTTTCAATTAAATGGTTGAATGATTGATATAAAATACTAATTATTCAACAAAATTGAACAAAAAAGCAGAATTATCGACATGTATACAATTTATTTAAAATATAAAGCTAATAAAAATGATAGGAAGCAGCAACAGAGGAACATCCGTATATCTCATACATTTTGGTAACTTCACATACATTTGGTGGCCTCGCCTGTTATGTGCAAAGCGTCAACATTAATTAGCACTTTAATATGAGCGAACTGCCACTGCGTTCGCAGAATTGGATGATATATCCATATTGTGCATGATAAACGAAATCATTTAAATACTACGCTAATATATGATTCAGACAGCATAAAATAATAAATTCATGCACTCTAGAACGACTCATTAAAAACAGAAATACACGCCAATTACCATCACTATTGACTGCATGAGTAACACTAGTTATAATTTTTTGGTATAGTTAACGTTTTTATGTAGGTAAATTATCTTTACATAATTACATAATAATCTTTTTGAAGTCCAATATACTACAATTGCTACAAAAATATATAGTGCTTCCCCAACACGTGCTTCGACATACGAGCAAAATTCGAGATACGAACTTTGAGCGAGTTTATTATTTCTAGAAAAATGTCAATAACAAAATGATAATATCAAAAATCCGTCAATTGTATTGTAAAAATGATTCGTCCTACCCCTATGGTAAGAAAATATTTTGACTGTTTTATTCAACTATTAGGAGGAAAATATTTTGACAGTCATTTCAATTATATATTAACCCTTTCCACTCGAATGCCGCCACTCCGGCGGCAAAATACATATTAATTTGGGAATACCCGAGTGAAAAGGGTTAATAGTTTAGTAACTATTGACCCACGCAAATATATCACGGAATATTGATTGTTTAAAATTGTTTAAAATTTTAACTATACATTAATGGTTATTGTTCAGTTGTATATATTGAGTTCGCGTTGTTTGCTTTTTGTACATTTACAAAATATTATTTATTTTTATAACTATGGGTCCAAAGAAAAGGGCCAAGCTTCTTGCATTAAAACATGAGGATGGCAAGGACGTACGAGTGTAACCCTTCATAGATATGTACTGCGTTTAAATAGAATGAGCTAATAAAGGGCTAATACTCCAACTAAGGGCCTTACAATAGTTTATAAGCACCTAAAGTTTGTGGATAAAAATCACCCCGAAAAAAGTGCAACGGTTCGAGCATGGGAGTTGTTCAACGAAACATATCTGACTCATTACCGTAATATCATGAATGAACAGGAAAAATGAATAATTAAATTAATAAATAGTAACTTTATTTTGAATATTCAACAAAAACTTAATAAAAACCACAGTGCTGGGACGCATTGATGACATTTCAATTTAATTATATAGGAAAAATTGCTTCGAGATACGAGCGAATCGACATACCAGCCTAGTTAAGAAACGAATTAAGGTCGTATGTCGGAGATACCACTGTATATAAAATTGCATAGTTTCCTGTCGTAAAAGGTCTTTATAACAATGAACACTTCATTTCACCAAAGCAAAAAAGTGTTTGATTTTATGATTTTAGCAGACTAACTCCATCAGATATGTGCTTAATGTTATTCACACACGATACGCATCTGTTCAGCAGCACTATATGACAGAGCGTGGGAGGAAGCTGTTATTTAATTACTACCATCTCGTAAAGTACATGTTCGAGTTTAAATATTCTTCAACGCAAATTACCAACTGCATTTTTTATAAAATGCTAAAAGTAAGTCAAATTATTGCATTTAGTTCTAATAAAATAAATTGTTTTCATCGATCTTTCAGACATAGCGTAGCTCAGACAGCAGCACGCCGGACTCAAGGAAACACGGTCTGAGTCCTGGCGTTGACAAAAATTGTATTGTTAAAATTAAAATTAAAGAATTCTAATAGTTGAATAGAATTAGAAAGAAGAAGAAAAACAGATTAGAACACACGAAAATAAAAAGAAGAATGAAGAAAAAAGGAAGATAGAAGTTGAATAGAATTAGAAGGTGGAAGATAGAACAGGATTAGAAGAGAGAGAGAAAAATGAAAAAGCCACTAATGCTCCGAGTTAAGTAAAATTTGAATTGTTGATTGGAGATAGAATAGAATTAGAAGTTAGAAGAAGAAAGTTAGAGACTGAAGAAGTGGCAGGAATGACTCAGTTAGTAGAAGTGTAAAAAGAAGAAGCAGGGTTACAAAAAAAAAAGAATAAAGAAGTCAGATATAAAGAACATTGGATTGTATAGGATATATAAAGATAGCATATGATACGTATAATAAAGATAGTGAAAGAAGTTGTAGGCTTGGCTGTAAATCATCGAGGCCAAAAAAAGAAAGACAAACGCACAAAACAAATTTGCACAAAACTTATCGAATAACCATTAAAAAAAAACAGAAAAATTCGCGTGAAATTGAGGCGATGATTTACTATGCAAGCACCTATTACTAAATTTAACATATGCGTCTACTTATCATATACAATTCACATAGATTTATTAACATCTTAACAGCATAATTTTCGAAACTTTTATTAATATTTATAATTAAACTACATCCGATAGGGTTCTAAAATGTTTAGAGTTTCGTTTCAACCCTATCAACATGCCATTTAAGTCTCATCAAAATCCCAGATGAGTAAATTTGCGGTTCGTCTGGTTAGATCATAGAACAAAATTCACCAACTTCAATCGTAAACTCAAAATGCACCTGACGACGACGAAGTACTTTACTCAAACAGTTTCATATGATGACAAAAATGTTATGGTGTTGCGACAAACAAATGAAAAAATTCAGAACATATTCAGAATATGCAATTGAATCCTAAAATTTGAAAATCGTACCAGTTCTATAGTCGCTCAACTTCTTGAGACACCGCGGTTACCAAAAAGCTGAAGAAGAAGATCTCAAAGATAATATTCAAAGCATTTAACTCTACATCAACCATCGACTTACAAAAATTTAGCACAATAATTTCATGTATGTGTATATAAGTGTATGTGAGTAAGTAAATGAATTGAACCATATAGTAGTTCACAAGATATTTATTATTCTGATTGCTGTTAAAAATAAAATAATAAATAAGGGACCTCGTGCGGCGGTACATATCCAAAATATAGAGAGTAAATAATAGATGTGATTTTTGTTGCTTCATTTAATTGCAAGTTTGAAAATATTTGTATAAGCTTAGAAAATTTGAAGTTGACTGGCAATATAAAGATCATATCATGCTTTGTATGATAA